AAAATTCTCAAGGGGCAAGTCACTCAGGTGGCATTCTTGTCAAAATTCATTTAAGTAATTGGGCTTAGCTTCTCCCAAAATAAACTACAATTAGTGTCACACAAGTGCCACATGGTGGCTTTTTCTTAAAAAAATGCTCATCTTTATGACTATTCATACAAATTTTTTTATAGTTATTTATTATTTTTTATAAAACTTAGTTATTATTATTGATTGCTAAGAACTGCATAAAAATATCATATATATTTTAGTATTGTTAATTTTATTGAAATATTCTAGTATATTCTAATATTCGATTCTCTTTAAATAAATATATCTACTTAAATTTAAACAAGATATAAAAGACACATAATATTATCACACAATTTAAAAGTATAAGAGAGATCTGTAATTGAAAATAATAAATTAATTACTAAAAATTAAAATTTTAAACTTGTAATTTATTTATATAATTATATGTATTATTTCAATTATTTTAAATTTTTTCGAATGTTACATGACTCACCCGAGAGATATGATATGCAAAATGTGAATAGCTGACATCTCCGTTAGAAACTCAAGCTGTATAATTAATTAGTTGTCACACGGCCTAGATTTGAGATGCTTGTCAGGATATTTTTTTTCTTTTTTATATTCTATGGACAGTTGGTTCGAAACTTTATGTTAACGATCACAAAATTGGCTAACAGTTGGGAAAACAGACAGCCAAAGTTATACACTAGCTTAATTAAACGGTTCGAACTTTTAAAGTTTTTGTTAGTAGTAGAAAAAAACTTCGTTTTTCAAGATAAGTTGGTTTTTCTTTCCATATCCGGCATATTTTTGTATATAACTAGAGAGAACGATAATTAGTTTCCAAAATACTGAATCAATGACAATTAAATTGTCAATAATTTTTTTTAAAAAAGTTAGAAATATCAATGTAAATAATTATAAATCTAGGTATTTTAATTATAAATAAGTATTTAAGTATTAAATATAATTATTAAATTATAAGAAATTTTTTTATTTACAACTGTTTGAATTAATATCTACAATTTATTTCTTTTTAAATTTTTTCGGGAATTAATTGAAACTAATTCAATCTATTTTAACCTAATAATCATTCTCTTATATAACTATCAATAGTTACAGATTTTGTTGTACCCAAAAATTTAGGTGATGCCCACGGCCAGCCTAGACCATGAAAAAACTCACGTCTTTTAAGTCTCAAATACACAACATTTCTCTTGCATGGCTGTAGACATATATGATATATCTCTTGTAAAGAAAAGTCGCAGGTCTTCTGTAAAAATTTCACCAAAACCTACTGAGACCTCGCTCCCAATAGTTCGATAATAGCAATTAATAACAATTTAACATAAAGGAGCTCTGCTCGACATATCAATAGGTACACAAGTTAATATTTAAGAAAGGAAAGGATGATCCTACTTATAGTCTACAAAGAGTACTTTGAGCCGGATTTACAAAATACAATACATAAGATCAAATTTTATATAAGATGAGTTTTAATCAAATCAATACTTCAACTTCAATTCAGCAATAAGGCTAGCTCCTTAAGTTAAGGAGGTATACAAGGTCACTTGAAGGACGGCTGCACATCAATTAGATCAGACCGGGTTTATGATCATCCCGAGGCTTGGTTTGATTATGCTTTGGGCTACACTTTTTAGTCCACATACTGGTCTAGTCTGAAAGAACCTGACAAATATGAGATTGGACTGGGTTTGTCTCTAGGCTAAAAACCGGGTTATCAAACCAATTCTTTCTTTTCAAGGTTGATTATTTAAGAATGTGGAAGATGGGGAGGCTTATATGGTTCCAGAAAAAGCAATGCATCATCGTTCAATACTGATTAGCAAAAGAAATTGTAACTACAAACCAATAACAATATCCCCTCTGACAAATCGACCTTACCCACCACTCTACAAATCAATTTTTACATTGATGAAATAAAAGCTAAAAAGCACAACCATTTTTTGAGGCAAATCAACAGCATCTTCAACACAAACTGACGGTGAATCAATGGCAAGGAAGGATGAAGCAGCAAACCTCTACATACTAGATCGACCTTATGGGGAGAAGAAACTTTGATCGACAGCAAGAAGGAAGAAGAATCACATATCAACAAGGAGGAAGAAGCATCACAAATCGCTCGCAATAAGGAATAAACATACCAAATTTGACAATGTGAAGGTAGATCGATGATGGCTTCTTTTGTCATCAACAATGACGACGCTTGAGAAGAAGGATAGGGAGGAGAAAGTTGGAAAGAGGCAGATCGACGATGATGATGCTCTTTTTCTTTGGGTCTATATGATGCCTTCACAATGATAGAGAATATTACATGAGAGGGAGGAAGTGGATTTTGTTAATTATATGAAGCACCGGTTATACCATACCATCTGGTTAAGGGAGTTAGTGTGGTGTTTGGTCTGACCCGCAGATATAACCCAATCTGGTCAACCCAATCTTTCATCGGGTTTAATTTTTTTGCACAGGACTGGACCAAGTTCAGTCGATCGGGTCATACCGGCTTCATGAACACTCCTCTTATAGTACCATTCCATATCAAAACCATTTACAAGTAAATCACGTCCTAATTATATAAATTAATAAAATAACGAAAAAATAAATAAATAGCTTCATGTTTAAGCTTAGAAACAGTTTAACGTGTGGCCTAGCACTTACTTTATAAACCGACCTTCCTTGCAATGCTTTAGTGTACATATCTAAAGGTGGAGATAGGGAGACTACTACTGGACTAATAGGGGCCATGCCCCCCTAACTTTTTACTTTTTTAATAAAATATAGAAGTTATTTATTTTTCAGTTCTCTAAATTGCTACAGTATAAAAGTTTTTTAAGATAATAAATAAAATTTTTATTCCAATTCTATAATAATCTTTTATGCATGTATGGTTCAACTGTTTCAATAACTTAAAGATAGAATTGATAATATTATAGTTGCTGTTAAAACATTAATGTCATTTGATTTTACTTTTATTTTATATTTGATGAAATAAATTATAAAAATTGCTACTAACAAACTTTGTTAAGCATTATAATAAATCCTAAGGTATAGATTATGGTTAATATATGTTCTTCTAGAAAAAAATTACTTTGTTATGTAATAACCAAACCATTAAAATTTATTATATGAATAGTTTTTACTATGATATACTTAAATCCCATTGACATAGAGAATTTGTGACAATTAAACATCATTATTGTGTTGATATATTTATTTACTATAATTATTAATTGAATAGTAATTAATAAATTCAAAAGGCAAGTAATAGAATATTTTAGATTGAACAGAACTTTAAATTTTAAGGATACATTTAAATTATTCAATGCTTATGGAAAAGATGAAATCCTAACCTATTTAATGATAGTTTATATTGAAAGGAAAATTGCTAAAATTTTTATTATAGGTATGATAATTAATTATTTTTATGCCACAAAAAATAGATGAGCAAAACTTAAGAAATGAAAGTATGTATTTATTTTTATTATATGTATGTAAAATTGAATATATATGCATTGATATATATATATATATATATATATATATAATTTTCTTTTAGTTATTATATATGCTTTTTTATTTCCACCTCTAGTAAAATTTTTTGACTCTGCCCTTGTATGTATATGTATATATATAGCTAGTGACATGATAATTATATGTTCAAATGCTAAAAGCTTCAACAATGGCAACCAATGTAACGCCGAGCCGCATTTTGCTAACAAGGCTTCGGATTTGAGATACTTCTCAAGATTGCTTTCCCCCCTTACTCTGTGTTTTGCGTACACCATCAAGTTGGAATTATAAAAGCTGGCCGTATAAGGTAAATTAGATATATAATATAAGAAAAAGAAAAATGAGTTAGTCAACCTACATGTTGCTTTGCAGAAACAATAATTTTTAAGGAAAATGCAAGTTTTGATCTTGAACGTAAGGACAATTAGATTTTTGTTAAAATAAAAATGCTGATACAATTAAGCAAATTAAAGTGGGAAAAAGGAGTCACACACTCACACCCAGCTCTCTCTAAATGATAGTACTCCCTTCGTTTTCATTTATTAGAGAAATTATTACTTTTAGGCTCTTTTTATATATAAACAAAATCACATTTCTTAACGGGTATTTATTGTAAATTTTTTAAATTATGCCTCATAATTTAATGAAGAAACAATTAATGAAAACTTAATTGACACAATTAATAAAGGGTATTGTAGTTCAATTCTTTTATTTTCAAACATAATTAATATAGTTAACTAATTTTCTTAAACTATGTGACATTTTTTTCTCCTATAAATAAAAAAAAAAGAGAGTACTTGCTTAAAAGTCTGAATTGAATTACTCCTTCCGTCCTTATATATAAGATGTTTTTAATCGAATCACATAAATCAATAAAACTTGATTATCTAATTAAAGTACAATGACATTCCAATTTTGCCATTAATTATTATAAATAAAAGATGAATCTATTTTTTTTAAAGTAAGTTAACGAGAATTATTTATCTTTTTTTTTAATTTAATAAGGATATAATGATCCATTTATTAAAAAAATGTCGATAATCTCTTAGATTTAGGAAAAAAAATTTAAAAAATTTTTTTATGCAGAGGGACGAAGGGAGTAAGACGGAAGGTATTGTAACCATCATCAATATATTTTATATTAGTAAAATAATTTTATACGATCCTTTTGCTACCGTTTTCTTATCTGTGAAGCATTTGAATGGGTCCTACATGTGTTCCTTTTCCCTTGGCCGCCTCTTTTTCCTTCCGGCCCCCTAATCTTCGAATCAAATTTGTCTACTGATCTCTATCTTCAATGTATATCAATATTTATTATAAAAAAATTACAATCACACACAGATATAGCTAATTTGGCATCATAAACATAAATATATAGGTAGCTTCGTGATATATATTTATACATAAGGAGACACACAGATTTCGATTCTAGGTCTACATATGTGCGCTTAATTACTCCAATATCCGATCCCGTGTTCCAAGGGGAAGAAAGTTGGACCCTATCTCCCCTGAATAATCTATAAATACCTTCCACACATCTTTGCCTCCTAACCAGTAAACCCAAGAATTTCCATACAACGTAGTTGTTCTTCTTTGCGCGTTTGAATTTGGCATTTAGCAATGGAACTTCATTCTAAATACCAAGTGGTCCTTGTTTGCGTGATGCTGCTCTTACCTGCTCTATGCTTATCCCAAGGCTTCACAGATTCCAGAGCCACCTTTTACAGTACCTCTGATGGCTATGGAACTTCAAGTACGTGAAACTCTTCTATAATATAATGATCACCCCTCTCCCCACACACCCCCCCACCCCCCGATCCATGGCTCAGCCGAGAGGGCTTACCGGGCCTTTTGTTGCAGCCAGCTTACGCTATGAGTTTTAAGGCTCTAGTACCCATGACATCCATGTGAATGTACTCTACAGCTAGGATTATAGGATACTATAGTTACGGGGGAAGCAGATGCAAACATTTTGGCCCATGACATATTCTTTCTTTGAAACTTCAATATTCTTTTGATTAGTTTACTTTTGATGATGCAAATACAACTTTAATTTTTAAGATATAGGGTACCCTTCTAAATATTATATATGTAGGATTATTGACTTAATGACATGACATGCATATGTTATCAGCCGGAGCTTGTGGATATGGCGATTACGGCAGAACTGTAAACCACGGGAGGGTTGCAGGCGTGGCCGGCTTATGGAGAGGTGGCGCTGGATGCGGTGCTTGCTACCAGGTGAGCTTCTTATCGGAAAATTAATCAATGACCCAACACAAACACGTGTCTTCCGTACACAGAAGTTATAATGGAACGATGGTGCTCAGGTGAGGTGCAAGAACTCAAGATTATGCGATAACTACGGCACGATGGTGGTGGCAACAGACTACGGAGCAGGTGATAGGACGGACTTCATAATGAGTCCCAATGGCTTCTCAAAACTGGGACGAAACCCAAGTGCATCGGCAGAGCTCAAGAAATACGGCGTCGTGGACGTCGAATACAGGAGGGTACCCTGCACATATGCTGGCTACAACGTGCGTATCAAGATCCACGAGTCCAGCAGATACCCAGACTACCTTGCTCTTGTAATTCTCTACGTGCCTGGAATGAACGACGTCACTGCCGTTGAGATATACGACGTATGAAACTTTCAACTTAATTAGTGCAAATTAGTTTCCTTTTTTTTTTTTTGAGGTACTTAGTTGTGTTTGATCATGAAACAGAATGATCGCAATGAATGGATGCCAATGAGAAGAGTGTACGGGGCGGTGTTTGACATAGTGGGTGCACCAAGTGGACCACTGAGTCTGAGGCTGCAACTCAGTGGAAGAACAGGTTGGGTGCGGTCGAGCAAGAGTGCCATTCCTGGGGATTGGAAGATTGGAGCTTCTTACGACTCTCTAGTTAAGGTCTAAAACTTGGATCCTGAATAACGAGGGGAACACGTAACTTGTGTGGCTCCAAGAACGCAAGCTGTCTGTTGTCGTGTCCGCTAAAAATTAAATGATATGGCTGCTGGAATAAATGAATAATAGGGGTTTGTGTATTTTCCATTTGTGACGGAATTATTAATACGTGAACAAAGAAACCTCTTTCGTTAATTGAATCCCCTTGTGCAGTATCAAAAGTAATCATTGCGTACGTTATCTTTGTGATAAACAACTTTGGCTTCTGGGAGAAGATGAGCCTTGATTTAATTAAAAAGGGCAGTCCCAAAACAATGAATGGACTTGCTAGGGTGTCCATAATGAAATGCCTTAGAATAACCAAGAACAAGTTTTCATGATTGGTTCCTGCGCAATGATTGCGCCTTCGACTCTTGGTGTTGCCGAAACGCATAGGAGAACAAAAGAAAATGCATAACGTTACTTCCTTTTCTTTATATATAAAAAATCTTTTAAAACATTTTTGTATTCTAAATATAAGATGTTATTAGTATTTTTTTAATAAATAAATTATTATACCCTTATTAAATTAAAAAAAAAGATAAGTACTCTCATTAATTTATTTTAAAAAAAGAGATTCATTTTTTATTTATAATAATTAGGAGCAAAATTAAAATGTTATTATACTTTTAATTAGATAATTAGTTTTTATTGATTTATGTGATTTAATTAAAAATATTTTATATATAGTACGGAATGAGTAGCTTGCAAAATTATTACTACTACCTACTATCTTTCTTTTCCTCATTCAATGAAACGTGCTGTAATCGATATCATGAGGCCCCAAACAAAAGGCGAAAAAGAACAGACTTGAAACGGAAGATAAAAACAAGGTGGATGTATTATGTATAATTACGTACGTGACTAGCAACATTAATCATGTGTGTGTGTGTGTGTGTCAAACAGCTATTTTCTTTTTTTTTTAATATAGACTAGACAGCTAATCTTTTATATATATATTTTGAAAAACCTTACTTTTATTTAAGGGAAAAATATAACTATTGTTTTCATAATTTTTTTTTTGTTACTCTTGGTCTCACTAGTTTATTCTGTTTCTAACATTAATTCTTCTATTTTTCAATATGCCCAGAAAGGTGATGAGATAACAATAACGGTGTTAAACATGCTGAATTGTAACTAACACTGTTAATCTGTGCTAAGACGAAATCATGTTTGGCATATTAATAATGTTGTCCACCCCATTCAATTTCATGTTTCATGTTTCAATAAGTTGAATCAAAATTTCACGTTAGATAAACAGTGTTAGTCATAGGTTAGCATATTTAATATCGTTAGTGTCACATTATTATTCTTTTAAATATATTCAAGAATAGAGGGTCTAACTTGGCAAATGGAGCAAACTAGATAGACATGGAGCGTAAAAAGCTATAGAAACTTATACCAAAATACATTAAAACTACAAGAACTAGTAGTTATATTTTCCCTTTATTTAAGAAATTGTAACCAACTCACGAGTCAACGGAATATGATGGAAAAAGTGAATGTGAATCACTGACGTAGTCCGTTCAAATTCAAGCGGTGCATTATTAATTGTTAATTATTAAAATGTCTTAAGATTTCAAATGCTTAAATTTTCAAAATTGCTTTCCCCCCCCCCTTTTTTTATATATATTCTATCTGCATACCATCATGTTGAAATTATATTAAAAAATTAGTGAAAAGGTAGATTAGATAAAGCAGAATAACATATACTGCACCGAAGTTTTGATCACGAATTTAATTACTATAAGACAATGAGTGTGTGTGTGCAAAAGGAAAACAATATAACTATATAAGAAAAATAAAATTTAATTTTACTTTAGTCAACTAACATATATTGCCCAAACATTTCGAAAGAAAATGAAAGAAAGTTTTCGATCTTGATTATTAGTACATGTTTGACGAAGAATAAAAGTTGGTTCACCTAATCAAAAGAGTAAAGAAGATTAAAAGGTTGACACAAGCGAAAGAGAGTGAGTCACCATTTCCGTCTAAAACATACTGGGCTTAAAAGTAAGAATTTATCAAATCAATGCATTAACCATTAAAAAAATTATATAAAATTAAATTGAGTTTATATAACTCTTTCGCTAATGCTATCTGCAGAGAAGCATATATTTGAATGCAGATGAAGGAATTTTAAATAGATAATAAATCAGATAAAAGAATCAGTTAGAATCTTACTAAATCTGAGCATTCCATAATCTACTCAACTACCAACACAAGTTTAGATTAGTAGAGTCTAAATTAAAATGCATAGTAGATGCACCAAAGAGAGAAAAGAGAAGGGGAGAAAGAACGAATAATGAGAGAGAGAACTGTTCATTTTGGGGTGAGTTCTTCCTTTGGCTATCTTTCTCTATTTACAGTGAAGGAGAGGCCATGATAGAAAAAGAAGATCTAATTAACATTATTTCACCTCATTATAGAGGGAATATTATTGTGGATGAATAATCAGTTACTATTAATTTTACATTCCAGTCCGCTCATTATTACCGAAATAATTCGGATCCACTGATTGCTCCATTGTAATGATTTGAGTCCCATCAAGGGCGAACCCGTAATTGCGACAGCAGGCCTACACGGGATTTTACCAGTTCATTATATGTATGTATGTATATATATATATATATATATTTTCCTTTAGCTTATTCCGATTTCTAAGATTAAACTTTTACAATGGGCTCTGGTGGCGCAGAAGAACTAATTAATGTATGTTTTCATTAGAGACACTGAGAAAGATTTGTTTAGGACCAAGTCAGTAAAAGAATTCAAGCGATTTGACATTTTAGGTTTGAGTCTAACTCTTGACCGAGTCTTGTTCATAACCATGCGCGACTAGTTTTTGGGTACATAGAAAACAATTTTTAATCTCTTGCGTCGTCCCTCATAAATTCAAGAAATTACTATCTGCTGTAATCTTGCAAATAAATATAGTACTAGATATATAGAAATATAGGAGAATGACACATTAAAGGCTCACGGCACTATTATTGGGTATTTTGATAGTACCAAAAAGTCCAATATTTTTGCCCAATGTAGTTCTCTTCAACGTCTGTGTATAGAGGAAAATTAACGGGTTTTAGCCTATGGGGTTATATATATAATTAGGATTTCCCCCCATGCACATGCATGAGACAATCACAATTTCGCAATCAAATAAAATATAATGACTTGAACAAGCTGATTCTTTAACATATAAAAGCTGTTCTGATTTTTTTTTTTTAATATGCATGCTGGTATCAGTTGGTAAGTGTTTAGTCTACCACACCGTCCAACAAATATTTTAGGACAACCTGCTGTCGTGTATCCCTCTTCTATTTCCATCAGGCCTCTAACATTTGAATCAAGTTTTGTCTGTTCGTATATAGAAAATGTTGCAATGATGAACGGAAGACAGTTTGCTGCTTGTAATTAATGAACACAAAACCTTGGATACATAGACACGCGCGCAGAGTCCAAGAAGCTAGGGTCTTCAATTTGCTCTTCTTTGTCCAATAATCCAATCCTGTGTCCGGATCAATGGGAAGGAAAATTCGAGACTCTCTACAATACACAAGGCCTCTAGCCCTCCATTATAATCTATAAACACCACTCCACATATATCTTTGCTTCCAAACCAGTAAATCCAAATTTCCATTTTATAACTTAGTTGATCTTTTTTTTTCTTTTTATGAATTTGATATTTAGAAATGGAACTTTGTTCTAAATACCAAGTGGGCCTTGTTTATGTGATGCTGCTTATGCTTGTCATGCCTCGCAAATATGAGAGTGACCAGCAGAGAATATGCGTATATAAACACATATTCCTTGAGCTTCATTTAAAAAATTTTTTATTTTTAAAAGTACTTTTTATTTAAATGATGTTTTAATATTTTTGTAAAAATTTCGCCAAAATCTCTCCTATAAATAGGATTTTCCAAAATTCTACTATACAAGTTTTCAAACAATATTATAACAACCAGGAACTCCACTCCTTCTAGCTAGCAGACAAAGTATTTAACAAAATAAATACCCTAACCATAGCATATATGAAGCACCTATAACATTATTTATAAAGTACAGTATATAAATTAAAATTTATATCAAAAATAGAAATTAACCAAAATGATGTCTTAACTTTAATCCAGTAACAAAATTTCTTGAATGATCTGACCGAAGCACAGGCTATTTGAGATTAAAAATATTTTTCAATAAATAACATCTCAATCATATTTGCAAAATTAAATGGATAATTTACAACAGTCATGAAAATTAGAGAAAGCAACTCTATAATAAAATTAATAAACTTAACATAAAATTTCTATATAACTTTAATATTATAAGCATTTAAATCTTTAATAACGAAACAACTTTAGCACTTAATCTTAATGAGTCAAATAGATTAAATAATTAATAAAAATAGCATTCACTAAATAAAAACCATTAGAATATGAAGTCATCAATTAATTAAAAATTCATATTAGTTAGAAATTTATCAAAACAATTCACAAACATGGACACACAGTTCATAGAATAATAATTACTAAATGCAGCTTGAGTTATGAAACAAACGTAAGTATGAGACTCATAAATAACATAAAAACAAAGGTCACAAAAACCAAACTAACTAGTCAATGATCATGATGCGCCAAAGGCTAATGAAACTGTCGTTGGCAATTAGTGTTCAGTATAAAATCTTCTCCAAATTCATTTTTAAATATGCAAAAAATTATCACTATAAAAATACAGTTTTTATTTCCAAAGTCAAACTTGCATGGATAGTTTTAAATATTAAAAACTTGCCAAAATAAGGTTTCATGACCAATGTCTATGTTTGGCATTTATTGAGCAACCCAAAAATAATTAGATTTGATAAAAATAATCTCATCTATTTTAAAAGTATCCATCATAAAGAAAAACACATACACATGCTATTATTCAAATATCCATCAACATCTCTTTATAATTTCTCAAGATAAAAATTATTTAATTAACAAAATATTAAATACAAATATAATTGTTAATAAATGATCTATATAAAAAAAATATTTTAAAAAATTAATAATAAATCATTTAGTATACTAGCCACGTACCTCTTACAATATGTTCAAGTACGAATTCATTTTTTAAGACTTCAATCAACTCTTCCTTGTTATTTTAATCGAGGTTTCTTT